ACAGACATGCTGCAAAGACATCAAGTCTGCAAATGTATAGTTGTATTATTTTTCAAAGGCTCAGTAATTTACAGCTGGTTACTGTAGGTCTAAACAAAGGTCAGTCAATAAATAGTGCATCAGTTGTGTCTGTGGGACTGGAAATTACCGGTCAGTCGCTCCACACCAAAACATTTCAGCTATTGACTGGATTACCACAAATGTAGTACAGACATTTAAGCTCTGTAGAGGGTGAATCATTTAACTCTTTACTTCAGGGCCATCATTTATCGAAACCCTCCTGTTAGATTGTCATATTTTCTGTGTTGAAGCGTTGGGCCCTTGGAGGTCTTCAGGGAAAGACTAATACTGAATTAAAATCTGACCTGGTGTTCATGGAAGTGTGGATCAAAGACTGCGATGTGGAGATGATGTCTCACTTTATTCTCCCCGTTTTTTTTCAGTCATCTATTTCACTGAGAAGTCAACACAGCTCAACACCGAGGCAGAAAGCCCACTGCCTCCTGGGATGGAAACCCTCAACCAGGCTCCGGAGGATGGGGGCCTGAAGGCCCTTGGCATATTCCAGATAATCAATCGCCTGGCTTGCCAGAACAGCACGACTCCATCCTTCAACGTCTGTGAGATGCCCTGCAGCAGTGAGTTTCACTTTGTGTGCATCTACATGCTGTTGTCATTGTCTCAGCTGTAAAGGTGTGTGTAGACTGAACACAGCTACATTTTACTTGGTGCTATTTGCTCAAATGTGACCACACACCAAATGTGCACGAGTGTCTCCGCTCCTTTTCTTTTTTTCTCTTAGGGTGAAGAAACATTTTCTACTTTTCATGGCCTTAAACAAACTTCCTGCTTGTTTTCTTTTCAGAGTTGGTTGATGAGGACATAGATGATGACTGCCGCTGCCTGAAGCAGGTCCTCGCCATGCCTGGGTATGTTCACTTTAAAACTGAGTGGAATCACATGGCGAATCAAACATCTGCAGTTTCACACTGTTACATTTTTTAAAATTCATTGTACATTGATTTATGTTGACTTTATCGATTTATTGTGCATTTTGAATTCCTCCTATTAAGAGTTAAACTATTAAACATAAAATATATTGGGGGGCGGCTGTGGCTCGGGAGGTAGAGCACGTCGTTTCCTAACCGGAGGATTAGCGGTTCGATTCCCGGCTTGTCGAACTTGTCGAAGTGTCCTTGAGCAAGACACTGAACCCCAGCTGCTCCCGGTGATGTCACCGGTGTGTGAGTGCGAATGGGTGAATGGTCACGTAGTGTGAAAGCGCTATGAGTGTGCTGTAAAGCATAGAAAAGTGCTATACAAGTATAAGACCATATCCTAACAATTGTTTTATTTATGAGATCCAGCTGCTATATTTGACTGTATTTCATAAAAGGACTGCTACTTTATTCTTTTAGTTTTGCAGTTGTACAGACAGTTCAGTCATTCAGTGACAATTCATGCCCAGTTTTTGCACAAGCTTAGGTCGTGGCTGGTTGCGTTTATTTTAACAAAGAAGGAAAGCTTCAGGATAAAAGGAAAATGATACTAACAATTTTTTGGTCACAGTTTTTTCATATTGTGACAAATATGACATTGTGGCCTTTTTATCATGGCATTATCTTGCTGTGAGTTTTTGGTTTTGTGACATCGCTGGTCATGACAGTTTGAGTTTCTGTATCACCCAAAATCCACCTGTTAAATTCAGATTTAATGAGAACAGAAACATTCATGTGTTTTCGTATATTTCCACAGTAATGACATCAGCGAGAACGAAAAAATGTTGAGACTAAGAATGTAAGTTATGTTTTTATCTATTCAGTTGCCTGTTGTTCCTTTAATAATCTGCCTGTTCAATGCCATTAAATCCAGAATTACTGTCATTAAATCGATACAGTCAGTTTAATGAACATGTAA